TATCTTCTGATCATATATGGAGCATGTTAGGTCAACAATTTCCACAAAAATCTCTTGCAATTATGAATTGAAGATTTGATTTTCTTCCATTATTTTTTCAATCTTTTTCACATGGTTTTTGTGCAAATCATATCCAATTCAATCCAATTCTCCCTAATCAGCATGTGCACGAAATATTGACATTATAATGTGCATAAAAAGATTTTTTAGGTTAAGGTTTATATTTTTCATGAATTAAAATCATTTAAATGAATATAAATTAATATTAATTCAAATAAATAATTAAAAAATATGAGAATACTTCCCTTTGGGCCTAGTGGTCGTGCATAGGCTTGGCATGAAGAAATTTGGAAGAAAATTGGGCCCATTTGCATTTTTAGGCCTTTTGCATCAATGTTGACTTTCAAAAATTTCTAAAAATTTCCCAACTTCCACAAGGCATAACTTGGTCAATTTTTAAGCTTTTCACATGTTCTTGGACATTTTGGAAAGGTCTTTGAGTCCTTTAACCAATGCCTTTGGTCCCATGTCATTTTGATTTACCAATCTCAAGTTATGGCTTTTGACTTAAAGTCACTTTTTATTGACTTTTGAAAATGACCTATAATGTTGAGATTGATAACTTTTTGTGAGAGCATTTCTTGGACTTGGAACATGAAGATGAATTGTAGGAAATGTCTTTCTCTTCAAAATGAGCTTTGGATGGAATTTTTCTGATAATCCATGTGAAAGTTATGCCCTGGTCAATTTCAGTTGACTTTTTCAGCTGTCCAAATATAGCAACTTTTGCATCTTTGATGATTTCTGAGCCAAATTTTGAGAATCATGATCAAGCATTGATCAAATGATGTTTGTGGCTTCAAAATGATATGTTGACCAAAAATTTGAACTTTTGACTGTCAAATGACCATTTTGCCCCTACAGTTGACTGTAGTGCAATTTAGGGTTTTGACTGTGCAATTTTGAGCTGAATGCCTTGGAACTTGACATGAGGATGCTTGACCACATTTGTAGGCATATGAGACTTGATTGGGCCTTTGAGAAGTTCATTTGCTTGACCAGAACTCAAACCCTAGTTTTGACTGTCTAGGAGACAGTTGAGCTGCACAACCCTTGGGGACTTTTGTGACCTTGACTTTGACAATTCTTGATGAATATGGGAGGGCAAATTTTGGGGTACAACAGTCATTATTGGAGAACGGGATGAAACTTGTATTAAGTCTACAACGACCCAAGGTATCCCTAACAATACTAACAACAATACTGGCATTGGTAGGAAGCCGTTTTCTGGTTTTGTCAAGAAGAAAGAGGGTTAGACTAGTGTTGTTACAATCAACCAAGGAAAAGCTCCTGCATATCCTCAAGTTCGATTTCCTTATTTTCCAACACTTGCTGCTATTCCTAATTAATATGTTCCTCAAGTGTATGTTGATACAACTCCAGCACCCTGGATGGCCCAACAACGGCCTTTCACTCCTCAACCATAGTATCTTCCACAACAACAATTTGCACCACCTCCAAATTATCAACAACAGAATCAGCAACCTCAAGGTCCGAGAGCTCCACAGAGACAAAGAGAGCCTAAAAGAAGATTTGATCATATTCCTATGTCATATGCTCAGCTTCTCCCTTAGTTACTTTCCAATCAATTGGTTCAACTACGTGAACTTGGTCCACCATCTAATCCTCTCTCAAAGGGGTATGACATTAATGCTCATTGTGAATTTCATTATGGAGCCCCAGGACACACAATTGATAATTGTACAACATTTAAATGTAAAGTTCAAGACCTCCTCGATGCAAAGGCCATAAATTTCAACCATATTGGTCCCAATAATCAGAATAATCCCATGCCTCCTCGCCCAGGGGCAGCGGTAAATGCTATTGAAGAAAGTAGTGAACAAACTCTGGTAACAAAATTGGACGAGATCAAGATATCATTAGAAACTGTTAGAGAACATTTGTTGGAGCACAAGGTGCTGCAAAAAATCCATGATTTTTGCTTAACATGTTCCTCTAAACCCGAAGAGTGTACTAGTTTGAAGACAACTATCCAACAGTTAATGGATGAAGGTGTCCTACAAGTAGAGAAGATATTTCGAGAAGAAGAAATTGATGTCTTGGAAATTCCTTATTATCAGAGAAGCATCTCAGTAACACCAGGTACCCCGTTAATATTTCAGGCTCCTACTACCCCATGAATGATTCAAGCTCCTACTACCCCGTTAATGATTCAAGCTCCAGTTACCCCCACGAAAACTCAAGCTCCTATTCCTCCTCTATGCAACAACTCAAAAGAGGTTTCGTGGGAGTATAATATTGTTTATATTCTTGGGAAGAAGTACAAGTGTCTTCCAATGGCTGACAAGAGTATTAATAAAATTGCAGGAACCAGTAACATGACTCGTAGTGGCAGGGTATTTTCTCCCCCACCACCGCCTCCCAAAGAAATAAATAGTGATCCTTTGGCCAAGGCTACGGGCAAGAAAGTGATTAATAGTCAGCCCGAACCTTCTGTAGGACAAGAAGCAGAGCAGCTTTCTAGGATTCTTAAGCGAAGTAATTACATAATGGTGGATCAACTCAACCAGATGCCATCCAAGATCTCTATATTGTCTCTCCTCTTGTGTTCGGATACCCACCATAATGCTTTACTGAAGATTTTTTGTTCCTCCCATGTAACTCAAGACATCTCTGTGGCCCAGTTTGAAGGGACCGTAACCAATATTGCTTTGGGAAATTGTTTGGGTTTCTGTGATGATGAGTTCCCAATTGAAGGCAGATCCTGCAACAAAGAGCTTCACGTTTCCATAAAGTGTTTGGATACGATTTTATCTCGAGTTTTGGTAGATACGGATTCTTCACTCAATTTGATGCCTAAGGATACTCTATTTAAGCTGAATACGGATGGGGTGATGATGAGGCCTTCCACCCTAAGTGTTCGGGCATTTGATGGTTCAAGAAGATCCGTGGATGGAGAAGTGGACTTTCCTATTGTAATGGTAGAAATGTTTAAGACTAAAGCCATTGGATTGACTAGACTTATACAAATCAAAACAAAAATCGCCACCACGCTTTATTGTTTCCAAAAGAATGGGAAAAGAGCGAATATCCCAAAAAAGGGGGAAAGATTCATGGTAAGAGGGTTGGTTATGCAAAGCGAAGGTATTAGCACCCTAAACATCTATGGTAATCCGTAAGAACCTCTTTGTACAAAATCTGTATATTGTGGGTATAAGATGTTGTATGCATGAATGAATCATTTTGGGAAAAAGAAAATTTTTTTATTATTGCATTCGCCCGGATCTTCAATCCAGTGCATACGTATCCCGAGAGGAATCATAACACCCGTAGTTCTTCTTTTAAAAAAAATTTAAAACACAAGTGTGTTGGTTAATTTTATGAGATAAGACATCATCGTCATTGTCCGTGTGAAAAAACATACTTATTACCCACAATCATACGAAAAGAGAATTTGCATAATCTCAAAGTGGAGGATATGACTTGGATTTTAAAAATCAACAATTCCTCACTCAACACCCAAGTGGAATATATCTCACTTCACTACTTATTTTAGAAGTATAGTTGTTTGCATCACTACAAGGATTGACAAGAGTCAAATCTTTTGAGAAAAGTTTAAGATGAAAGCCAAGATGGCAATATGGTTTTAATGAGATTGGTTGACTTTTAGTCTTCTCACAAAAAGGTCAAAGTATTGTTAAGTTGTTTAAAGTTTGATTAAGAATATTTTTTTTTGAAAAGGCATGGACATAAATCCCAGTTTATTGTGAAAGCAGTTCAAGTTAGAAACAATAAAACTTTTCAACTTGGGATACGGTGTGAAATAGAGGGAGGTGCGAAATTGGAACCTTGGGATATGGCGTAGAATCTCAAACGCTAGGCCCAAGTCTAGATCCAGGATGGTTATTTTTGTCTAATACCTTCAGGCTCCAAAAAATAATGGTAATGGACAGAAGAAAAAAAGTATGAAGCAGGCCCAATGAATTCTTCATTTTGGCCCAAAGACAAACATAAACTTAAATCAAATTAATTTTCCAAATTTCAGTATAATAATTATTTATTTCAAAATTTTATTTAGTAAAACAAATTAAAAAAAATGTTGCTTAAAAGAAGAGGGCTAGGGTTGGGAGCTTGTGTCGAATCAACTTCCTCCCTTTACTCAAAATTGCAGCGTCGCGGCTGCCTTCGCTTCTTCGCTGATTCCGTCATCTCTTCCACCTTGCTCCGCTCATCTCCGATTCAACCTCGTTCTGATTCCATTCCTGCTTCGACGTCTCAACACTCTCCCTGCGTTTGATTCAACTTCGTCATTCACAGCCTCGTCGCACCAACCCAGTCTTGTACCTTCTTTGAATGGCGCGTTCTAAACTTCTCATTTAGTGGTTCAAACTTTTAAACTTTGATCGGTATAAACGTAACATCGCCATGGAGATTTGCTCAATCCATTTCTTCAACAACGACACCGTGACTGTTTTCCATCACCTTTTTCGATTCAAGTCGTCGCCAATCATCACCCTCAGTCGCCGACCTCATTTTCCCTTCACAAGGCTCCTCTCTCATATTCCGACTCTCATCTTGCAATAAAATAATATGTGCAAAACGAAGAACAAAATAGGATGCAAGTCTTACCAACCGGAGAATCGTCCGGTGTACCTTCAATTTGAGAGAACAAGAAAACCAGAGATGAATGCATTTTTACTTTAATTATTCTTCATCTCTTTCCATTACTCGCTATATTTTCACGTTTATGAATTTCTTCGATTGCGATGCTTTTTGATGCATTCTGCATAAATTGTTGATGCTGGGGCATTGATCAAATAATGATATAATGTTGCTGCAGAGAAGAATGAAGAAGACATAGCGACGAGAGGTGTTGTTGAAGCATGGTTCAGGAACTGAAGTAGTTGAAAAGTGAAGATGAAAATTATGTTCAGAGATTCTATCGGAGCAACTCCAATTGGTTCTTTAAATTGATGAAGATGATGAGAAAATTAGTTAGCACTTTCTGCGAAAACTTATGTATGAATATCTCACTTGCTCACTTTGAATTCACATTTAATTGGTAAATCATCTTCTTCAAATCTCTTCCACGAATTTCTTTCTCCTTTTTACTGCAGTGTTATATGTTATATGGAATTGCTATTCGATTTATGGAGAATCCCTTATTGAAGTCTCAGAGAATTTCAGAGAGAACTCTGAAACTTCTCTGAGAAGTCTTTGCAACAATGAGTCTCGCTCCCCTTCAGATTGAAACAGAAGCTCATATTTATAATTGTTGGCTTAGCTTCTATGAGAAGTTTGATATAGGTAAAAACATATCAGCCCTTTGATTTAAAATTATGTTGCAAGAATCAAGAGTTGAGATTGAAATTTATTCTTTTTCTGAAATTCTATTCTGAAGCTTGTTATGGAAGCTTGACATATGCTGAGCTATTTTTTTCTGATATGTGCTTGCTCTGAAATTCCATTTATATATTTTTTAATTCCTGACTTATTTTCCTCTGCATTTTTCTGTGACAAACGAGGCAACAAAATTTTTGCTCACTTATTCTCATTTGATAAAACACAAGTCAGTTCAGGTTTGCATTAAAGCAGCTTCATGGAAGTGTTTTTTTTGGACCGGGTTTTTGTTGTAAATGCAGGGCAATTTTTCAGTTTGAATTTTATGCAGGAACTGGTTTTGAGTTACAAGCATGCCGTGTTCTGAGAAGAAATACAAAGAAGTTTGCTTGAAAAGGCCTTGATCGCTGAGAATTATCAAATTTGATGCAGAACAAATCTCGACATGATTTTTATTGGACAGATATTACGCATTGTAAAACAAGGCTTTGTTTTTTGTATCTAATTTATGGAAAATCTTAGGAACATGTAGTGGAATGAAAGCTTTTAGTAAAACTAAATTTAGGTACTTGGTTTTAGTTTTGAATGCTGATGAATGTATTTAAACATTAAAATTGGAACATGAAAGAATGAACTTATATCCTTTGAATGAGATTATGATATGGCATGCCTTGAAATCAATGGACTTAAAACATGGAATTTTGTAACTTGTCTTGCAAACTTAAAGGACATTTGCAACATGGACTATATTTGTATGAACTTGAATAAAAGGACTTTGAAAACCATGAATAGTTGTATTCTTTTTTTTATTGAATTTGGAATGGAATTATTCTTGAATTTTTAACTCGCAATCTTGAATCAATGATGATATATGTCTCAAAGTTATCCATTGAAATGAACATTAAGGCTTGAACCTGAAAGGATAAAAATGTTTGAATTTGTGGCATACCTTAAATTCCACCTTAGGTTCCAAGTAATTCAAATACATGAACCTTCCAATTTGCAAAACTTCAAACAAATCTAAACCATTTGAGATGTCTTGAGCACAATGACTTCCTCCAATCGCATTCACTCTTTTAGCAATTCATCCTCCAAGTCCATAAAAGGAGTACTTTGAAGAATTTTAGATGAAGGCAAGACTGGTAATCCTGGTAGCCTGTAGGCAGAGACCTAACTCAATAAGACATGGTTGAATAACCATCACCAATGCTCAGACACAAGCATAGGATAAACTCAAAATCACTGGACTTTGAGTGCATATGGATGAAGAAGGCTTGAGATGGTGAGTGGAATAAAATTCTAGCTCAAGAGCAATCTCATTGAAGTCATAATGAAATCTGAAGAAACACAAGTTAAACCCTAATGTATTTGTTTCTTGAAGAAATTCAGGCGAAGAAGAACTTGTATCTCGAGGAATCTTGTCACGGAAAATAACCATGATGCTTGTAGATCCAAAACTCTGGTTTTATACAAATAGTGATAAATGGAACAGTGGGATAAACTTGAGAGAGGCAATAACCTCAATTCATAGTGGAAAACCCTAATATCAAGAGCCATTTGAGCCCATGTCTTAATATCTCACATGAATGAAAGATTTATGATGTAAATGCATATGATGTTATGAATGAACAGATTAGGGGCAAAAAATGGGGTATGACACCTATCAAGATTGGTCCCCACACTTTCTATCTATTATTCTATGTTATGGGCATTCATCCGTCCTATACTTGCCTTTTGGGTCGCCCATGGATCCATGTAGCAGGAGTTGTGACATCTACTCTTCATCAACGCCTGAAGTTCATTATAAATGACAAAGTTGTTATCGTTTGTGGAGAAGAAGATGTAGTGATTAACAATCTGGAAACCTACCGTTATATGGAAGTAGAAGGTGGGATGCAGGAGTTGCCCTTTAAAGCTCTGGAGATTGTTTCTGTTGACAAGTTCCCCGTCGTGGAAAGTAAGAAGTGTGAAACACCTATGGCCTCTTTGAATGATGCCAAAACCCTCATATAAGCTAGATCTCCCAACGATGGTTAGGGCAAATTGATTGAAGTACCTGAGAAGAAAGATCGTTGTGGTCTTGTATATCAGCCGTTGTCCTCCGTGCAAGCTAGTTTGGTTCCTCCCAAAGGAAAGCAGGTTCCTCCAATTTCTGAAGTGTTCATCAGTGCTGTTACAAGCAAAGAAGGACAAGTTCTCTCAATAGATGACGAAGGTGACGGTGAAGATGTTTCTAGATTTATCTATCAGATTGCTCCAGACCAAGAGCTCAACAATTGGACTGCCGTGGACATCCCGGTAGTTGTTTTACTTGATGTGTAATTTTCTGTTTCCATTAAGTCATATGCCCCGCCCAAGGCATATAAACAACTGGTATAAGGGCCCCCTTATTTTTCAATTTCCGTTTAAAATTGAATGAAAATCGCACTTTCGCATAAAATTTTGTTGCATGTCTTTTCTTTTACTTCCACGTTTTAAAATAAAAACGACAATGCTTTTCTTTTCATATTCTAAATATTTTCTTGCACTCCCTAAAATAAAACATAAAATCATCAATCATGCAGATCCGTCTCGAACTCCATCCAAAAATTTAGTGTTATGGTTCCTAATATCCTTGAGAATTCAGTTGACCATGCTGACGAAGGTAATGGGGAAGATTGTGAAGTCCTTGAAGAACTAGCAAGACTCTTGAGACAAGAAGAGAAGGTCATCCAGCCGTATCAAGAAGAAACCGAAGTTATCAATCTCGGTACTTAAGAGATAAAGAGAGAAGTCAAGATAGGTGCTTCCTTATAATGTGAAGAAAAGAAAGGGTTGATTGAGTTGTTCGAGAGTATGCTGACATCTTTGCTTGGTCGTATGAAGACATGCCCAGTTTAAATACTGATATAGTGATGCACAGATTGCCACTCAAGCCAGAATGACCTCCTGTAAAGCAGAAGCCGCGAAGGACAAGACCCAACATGGATTTGAAGATCAAAGAAGAAGTTCAGAAACAGCTTGATGCAGGCTTCCTATCTGTGATAAATTATCCGTCTTGGATTGCTAACATTGTGCCTATACCTCAGAAAGATGGTAAGGTACGTATGTGTGTTGACTACCGAGACTTGAATAGAGCAAGCCCAAAGGATGATTTCCCGTTGCCTCATATTGATGTATTGGTTGATAATACTGCTCAGTCTTCAGTGTTCTCTTTCCTAGAAGGATTCTCAGGTTACAATCAGATAAAGATGGCTCCTGAAGACATGGATAAAACAACTTTCACAACTCCTTGGGGTACCTTTTTCTATAGGGTCATGCATTTTGGTCTAAAAAATTCTGGTGCGACATATCAAGATGCTATGGTGACTCTCTTTCACGACATGATTCATAAAGAGATCAAGGTGTATGTGGATGATATGATCGCAAAATCACAAACTGAGGAAGAACATCTGGTCCATTTTCAGAAGTTATTTGCTCGTCTATGAAAATTCAGGTTAAAGCTTAATCCCAACAAATTTACCTTTAGGGTTCGATCAGGCAAGTTACTTGGTTTTATTGTAAGTCAGCGATGGCTTGAAGTAGATCCATACAAGGTAATAGAAATACAGGATATGCCGGCACCAAAAAATGAAAAATAAGTATGTTGGTTCCTTGGAATGTTGAATTACATATCCAGGTTCATTTCTCATCTTACGGCTACCTGTGAACCCATCTTTAAATTATTACGCAAGAATAAAGATGTCCATTGGGATGAAAGCTGTCAAGAGGCCTTTGAAAAGATTAAGCAATACCTTCAAGAACCACCAATGCTCATACCTCCAGTTCCAGGGAGACCTCTCATTATGTATTTTACTGTGCTTGAAGGTACTAAGGGTTGTGTGCTTGGACAACATGATGATACTGGACGAAAAGAACACGCCATCTATTACCTGAGCAAGAATTTTACTGATTGTGAATCAAGGTATTCATTACTTGAGAAGACTTGTTGCGCTCTTACGTGGGAAGCTCAACGTTTGAGGCAGTACATGTTCACGCATTCTACACTTCTGATATCTAAGATGGATCCGATAATGTACATCTTCGAGAAACCAGCACTTACAGGAAATTGGCTCGGTGGAAAATGCTTTTGTCTGAGTATGACATCCAATACGTCACACAAAAGGCTATCAAAGGTAGCATTCTTGCTGATCATCTCGCCCACCAACCATTGGAAGCGTATCAGTCAATGAAGTTCGATTTTCCAAACGAGGATGTTATGAAACTTGATGATAAAGAAGGGCCCGAACCTGGGGAGCAATGGACTCTCACTTTCGATATTGTGTCAAATTCTATGGGCCATGGCATTGGGGAAGTCCTACCTTATCCATGCAATACTCACATACCTTTCACAGTCAGGCTATGTTTTTATTGTACGAATAATGTCACAGAATACGAAGCTTGTGTAATGGGTTTTGAAGCAACCATTGACTTGAAGATCAAGATGCTTAAAGTTTATGGGGATTTTTACTTAGTGATATATCAAGTACGAGGTGATTGGGATACACGACACCCTAATTTAGTTCCATATCAGGATTACATATTACTGTTTTTGCTTTCTTTTGATGAGATCACCTTTAAGCGTATCCCTAGAGAAGTAAATCAACTAGAAGATGCTCTAGCCACTTTAGCAGCAATACTTTATTACAAGGAGCCAGTACAAGTTTTCCCTGCTCATTGTCTCACAACTGAAGACGTGTCGGATGAAAAGTCGTGGTATTTTGACATCAAAAGATATCTTGAGAAGCAAGAGTACCCTGAAGGTGCTATAATTTGTGATAAGCCGACTCTTAGAAGGTTAGCATCCAAGTTTTTACTGTCAGGAGACGTTCTGTACAAAAGAAACTATGATTTGGTTTTGCTCAGATATGTTGATAGACACGAAGCAGAATCCATCATACGAGAAATTCACGAGGGCTCTTTTGGGACTCATGCCAGAGGACATTCCACGGCCAAGAAAATCCTACGGGCAGGTTATTTCTGGATGATGATGGAAAGTGACTGTTTTTTATATGCGAAGATGTGCCACAAATTTCAGGTTTATGCAGACAGGATACATATTCCTCCCACCCCTTTGAATGTGATGACTTCACCATGGCCCTTTGCAATGTGGGGAATAAATGTGATTGGATGCATCGAGCCGAGCGCTTCGAATGGACACAACCTCATTTTTGTTGCTATTGATTACTTCACCAAATGGGTGGAAGCGTCTTCATATAAAAATGTGACCAAGAAAGTCGTTACTCGCTTCATGAAGAAAGAAATCATATGTCACTATAGGACTCCTAGCAACATAATCACTGATAACTAGTCGAATCTCAACAACAAAATGATGAAGGAAATGTGTGAAGAATTTAAGATTGAGCACCATAATC